TTCTCCCAGGACAGGGGGAGTCTCTCACTCCTGGACTCCAGCATCCCTTGCCCATCAGCTGTATTTGTAGGATGCCACAGCTTGGGCACTCAGAGTATATTAGTCACTGTGGAAATCTTTGCACTGATGGATTTGTATGGCTTTCCCTTTCTCTCAGTCCGTGCACACCTGCTGCCTCCATCACCATGACAACTGTGTGCCCTTTTGCTACATCATTCTCCATGTCTTTGGATTTCTGTGGTGAGGAGCAGGCACATACTGAACGCCACTAGCAACGGCATGGGGTGTTCAGGGACAGGACAGGATCATCTCTGGTCAAATACTTCCTACTTTTTAGGACCTTACTGTAATTCTTCAAGACTTTTACCAGTTCTTTAATCCATTCACGTACCCTCACTGGAGTCACTTATTAAGGGATCTTTGTGTATGGAGCAAGGTCAAGGAGGAATGATTTTAGCCGTGCTGGTACAAAAAAAAGACAGCAGACAAGGGATGAATTTCAAAGTATCTGGAAAGGCCAAAGCTTTACTGATTTATTCAGCTGTAGATGGAAGAACCTGTGGGTGTCTCAGTCTGGAGCTGACTCCCTGACTTCTCACTGCTGCTGTCCTCATCTGCACTTGGCTTTGGGTCCAGTTATACAAGCTGGCACCTCACAGGAGCTGCTCCGGCAGAAACATTTCCATTGCCAGTACCTGTGGTAAGGTCTGACTTTGGAAAGGACTGAGTTCACAGCCACAACAAGTTACCTCTTGGTGTGGGGGGGAGGGAAAGGAGATTGGGGTTCAGATCAAATGGAGAATCTCAAGTTGCTGTTGTCTACTCTGTGCCTGCCTTGTAGATAACCCAAATATTTCAGTCCCCATGGCTGCCTTACAGTTTACTGCTGCTTAATCTTTGCCAGGTCAGTAATTAACGTCACCTCTGTTGCCCCTCCTTCCCAAAATAAATACATTAAAGGCAGGACAAACATCCCATGGGACAGGAACTGTGTTACATGGAACAGTCTTTCACAATCCCATCCATAAAGAATGAAGTCCTACACTTAATCTCTGTCACATTAATGGATTTAGAACTTGGTGTGAGACAGGAGTACAGCTCTTTACTCCCTGAGGTGTGCTGTAAACACAGTTAATTCAGTTTCTTCTGATTAACTTGTTTGAAATTTGTGTCTGTTCCTGGGACATACATTTGGATGGATCTATGTGTAACCTCTCTGAAAAGGGTCAGGGACAAATTTAAGGTTTCAAAATAAGCCTCTCCCAATTTGCTGAGGAATGTCAGATTGCATGAGATGTTTTTCTGTTCTAATTTATGAAGAAAAATATCTGGTAATAGCCATTGGACATTATTAGAATTGTCTCCATGTAAATGTAAACACGTTTTAACTATTCTGGCTTAGTTTAAACATCTGTGGAAGTGATTAAATCCAACCACATGAAAAAACTCCTAATATGGAAAAAAATTGGTAATGAAAAATAACTATTGCTCTTTTAGTGCTAGAATTCACATCTCTTTTTTTTCTTTCCTCAGTTTTTGTCTGTCTATGAAAATCTTTCTTTTCTTTTATTTGTACATATTATACTGATATCAAGTACTTCTGACCAAAACTAGATCCTTGCTAGGTGTACAGCTTCCTTGGTTGTGGATAGATGTCCTGAAGAGGGGAAAGTCTCCATGGGGTAAAATGATTTTCTCATGAGGGCAGAGTAGTTCAGTGGGTGAATGAGGACCAAGACCCCAGTCTCCATCCAAAGGACCATCATCTCACAGTGTCAGCTGCAATATGAGGGCCTGTCTGGTTAGAAAAAGAAAACAGCAAATAGCCACGAATACGTATAGACTACATGAGAAGGTCAAGGGGAGAGTAAGCCCAGGGCTGTGCATCAGTATTTACTCCACTGGAAATAGGGCTCCACCAAGGTAGATCAGTCCTGAATTCTTGACTCTCAGAACCCCTGTATTTTTGAGTCCATGGGTATTTTCTGAGGTAATTCAGATTGCAGCAGGCTTGCTCCTTCAAAGAAGCTGCCCATAGTAATTCCAAGGTGTAGCACTTCCTGTCCCAAGAGGAGAAAGGGGAAATAATTTATTTAAGAGCTCTGCCAGGCTCCGGCCTGTGTCCTGCAAGAAGCTGAAGGAACATCTCCTGGGGAGGTGACAGCAGGACTTTGGGTGTATGACTACTGCACTGCATGAACACAAAGTCGGGGTAAAGCCCACAGCTGTGTTTAGTGGGCCCTTGGTCTCACTCGGTTTGCAGTGATGGTGTTCATCACGTTGGCTGCCGGTCGTTGCAGCAGAACTCACAACCCAAACGTTTGGTTTTCTCCAAAGCATTAGCTCTGTGCTGAGTCATGTCAGCACTCAGGCTCCGACCTCCATGGCACAGGGCTCAACTCCTCCAAGTGGTCATCTGGCCAAGAGGTTCTGGGGCAAAAAAAACCCTGGAGGCATTTCCTGGCTTTCATAAGGACCCACTTCAGGAGTATGAGGTACAGGTGGTGTGAAATTAGTGCAGTCTTGGTTTTTCATATGCAGAAGGCACAGCAGCAGTCATGGGTAATTATATTCTGTGCAGGGAGATAACCTCTGGCTGGGGAAGTTTTGAACTGAGACTAGAGAAGGGAGAAAAGAAAGACTGGTATGGGGGAAAAAAGGGAGGCGAGGATAGTTTATAGTGAAGTGCAAGCTTTTGGAGAGGAATCAAAAACTAGTGCTGTGGTCTTTGTTGTTGTCATTCTGGTCTTCATAAACATTCAGCAGGACAGAAGTTGTCAAAGTTACCTCGTGCCTTTCCCAGTGGCACATCCAGTGCTTTCACTGGACAGGGGAGCTCTGCCAGCCCCTGCCCTGCTGGGCTGCAGGCAGCTGCCTGCCTTCCAGCATCCCTGGCTGCCTCCAGCCACCAACTGCCAGGCACAGACTGGCTGCGGGAGAGGAGGGTGCTCAAGCTGTGACATAGGCTTGTGGCCAAAAAGCAGGGGAATCATAGAAACATAGAATGGTTGGGGTTGGATGGGACCTTAAAGACCGTTTGGTTCCAACCCTCTAGGTGGGCAGGGCCATCTTCCACTACAACAGGTTGCTCAGAGCTCCATCCAGCCTGGCCTTGAACTCTTGCAGGGATGAGGCATCCATAGCTTCACTGGGAAACATGTTCCAGGGCCTCACCACCCTCAAAGTATATAATTTCTTCCTAATATCCAAACTAAACTTCCTCTCTTTCATTTCAAAGCCATTCCCCCTTGTCCTGTCACTACATGCCCTTGTAAAACATTGGGTACAGGATGTTTTCCCCATTGCAGGTTTTTTTCAGGGACCCAGCCCCTCTGGCCTGACACAGCACAAGGCAGAGCAGTACAGCCAAAGAGGGACACCAGTGGAGGAACCAACCTTCTCCCCTGAGACAGAACCTGGGGATACATCCTTGCAGCTGGTTGCTTTCACTATTGCATCTTCTGCCAGAGGTGCTGCGCTGCCCTTCAGGGAAAGAGAAGCACAAACATCACACACAACCCACCTTCCAAATCTGCATTTAGAGAGCGTGGCTTCAATTAAATATAATTACTCAATTTTGATTCAAGGGCAACTTCTCTTGCATTTATTTGCTGTCCCTAGTGGCTTATCTTAGAGAAAGAGAGAGAAGCTCCATGAGGGGCAGCCACTAAGGAAGGGGAGCATCCAGAAAAGGTGAGGTGTTCTTGCATCTAGGTCAGAGGAGTCAGATGAGAGTAGCTTCTATGTTTCTCCTTTGGTTTTGTTTATATTTTTTAACTAGCCTCTAACGAAGCTTTGAAGTCCAGCTCATCCCAGATTCATGCAAGGAAGGATCTGTAGCCATCGAGGCATTTCTCTGCTGACTTCTGAAGATGAGAGACTTGAAAGTAAATAGATACTGAAATATGGATACTCAAATGGATCTTTCAAAACCTACAGCTGACTGTCACAGGTTTTGTTTGTGTATTACAGAAGGCTTTTTTTTTTTTCTTACCACAGAAGTAAGAACTCAATCCATATTTACTTTTAATCACATACTACTTTTCACTTTTGAATTGTCAACCAGAGAACCAGATTTTCCCTAGCCTCAGTCCCACATTCAGGAAAACTGGATGAACCTAAATAAAAAATCATACGAGTAACACGCAGAAAAATCAGCAGAAAGGCTTTTACTCTGTGCATCCTTCCCCAGCTGGAGGCTCAAATTCCTTTTTTTTGTAGAAGCCTGAGACATGCTGCAGGGTGAAATAACTGCAGCATTAGATGGCATGGCATTATGAAATGGTGGATATTGCTGGGGTTTATGCTGCTTCTCCATGGTGGTCCCAGGACAGTTACACGTATTAGACATACAAACTCACCAGGAAACGCTTGTGTGGTGTGTGAAGCCACACAAATAGCCCATGGGGAACCTAATTACACCCTCCAGCCACTCCTGCAAAGCTAACAATAAGCAAAGCTAAAATGTATTGAGCACATTTGGATTATCCAGTCTCTGGAAGGGTATGTACACTGAATTCATCTTACAACTATGTAGTCTCCACTGAATTACTGTTTCCTTTTGATTGTACTAAAGATAGTGACAGAGCACGTATGAGTGTGAGTAATGGGTAGGTAGGGATCACAGTATTTGGGTTCTTGCTTGCTTTCTTTCTTTTCTTTATTCAGTTTCTTTCCTTCTGTTGCTGTCAGGGTATTTTTAGTTCTTCAAGACTCTATCTTCTACATCAAAAAAAGATTAAATCCACTTTTAGTCTATACTTTTAAGAAAATATGTGTATATATGTACCCTCTATGTGCTGTGGCATGTATCTGAGGTTACTGTGTCTTGATCAGCTACGTTTGAATTCACTACTAAAAATTAAGATAGAAAGGAAGATCAAAATTAAGAATTAAGATAGAAATGGCTCTTGTCAATACTGTTTCCCCATCTCACAATAGTATTTACCACATGAGATGTCCTATGGATACTGACTCTGTTGTGGATTTAACCCCCATAGATCATCTTCCGTAAGATCAGCGATGTCAAGAAGGAAGAAGAGGAGCGCCTGCGCCAGAAGAACGAGGTGACACTGAGCATCCCTGTGGACCACCCTGTGCGGAAACTCTTCCAGAAATTCAAACAGCAAAAGGAGATGCGCAATCAAGGCTCAACCCACATCGACCCGGAAAGGAACCAGCTTCAGGTGGAAAGCCGGAGCGTGCAGAACGGGGCCTCCATCACGGGCACCAGCGTGGTCACCGTGTCCCAGATCACCCCCATCCAGACCACCCTGGCCTACATGAAAACCAGCGAGTCCTCGAAGCAGAACAACCGGGAGGCGATGGAGCTCAAGCCAAATGGAAACGGGGACCAAAAATGTCTCAAAGTGAACAGTCCCATGCGGATGAAAAACGGGAACGGGAAAGGGTGGCTTCGACTGAAGAACACGATGGGGGCCCATGAGGAGAAGAAGGAGGACTGGAACAACGTCACAAAGGCCGAGTCCATGGGGTTGCTGTCCGACGACCCCAAGTCCAATGACTCAGAGAACGGTGTAAATAAAAACCCGCTGAGGAAAACAGACTCTTGTGACAGTGGAATAACAAAAAGTGACCTTCGCTTGGATAAAGCTGGTGAGACTCGCAGCCCCCTGGAGCACAGCCCCATTCAGGCGGATGCCAGGTGTCCTTTCTACCCCATTCCTGAGCAGGCCTTACAAACCACGCTGCAGGAAGTCAAGCACGAACTCAAAGAAGATATCCAGCTGCTAAGCAGTAGGATGACTGCCCTTGAGAAGCAGGTGGCAGAAATTTTAAAATTATTGTCCGAAAAGAACGTATCTCAGATCTCTTCCCCCAAGTCTCATTTATCACCCCAGCTACCCCCCCAGATATCCTGTCAGGATATTTTTAGTGTTTCAAGGCCTGCATCACCCGAATCAGAAAAAGATGAAATCCACTTCTAGCATATACCTATGTGTATATATGTATACAGTATATATGCAGAGGTGTATATATACCTTTATACATATATATATATGTGTGTGTGTATACGGTAAATATATATACATATATATTTTCACTTGCATCCAATATGACTTGAACACACCAAGGATTTTGATATGTAAATATTGCATGTCCAGCTGGATTCTGGCCTGCCAAAGAAAGCAATTATTAACATAGATATTGCTTGTATAATATGCAGTTGACTGCATGCACACTTTACATTTATTTATAATCTCTATTATGTAATAAAAGAATGACTTTTGTTTAACAAAGGCAATGTACTATTTAAAGAATCAGGGTCTAACCTGCCAATATTGCCATGACAGTTTTGATCTCAGGCTGGGTGAATTGAGCTTTTATTTCCTCACTGTCTTTTCTGCCGAGTTAAACAGTAGATTAATATGACGTGAAGGACACGTTCAGATTCCTGTTAGTATTGTTTCCTGGTATCATTTCATGACAATATACTGTATATTTGGTGATGAATTCCCCTACTCCTCCTATAGGGAGGGCTCAGCTCAGTGGGCAGGGAAGGGCACCGTGCCTGGTGCTGGGGTGGATCACTGGAATTTATTTGTGTGGGTATTGTGCATGCACAGCCTTTTATTTCAAATATCCTCCTGCTCTTTTAACATCTTAAGTAAGAAATAATAATAATAATAATAATAGTGATTTATGTAACAAAATGAAACTAACAGAAACTCAGTTGCACTCTCTGAGTGTTTGGGGGTAACTTCTTTCGTGAAAGCCTCCTTTTACTGATGCCATTTTTACTGAACAGTTAGAGTAACATTATGTAAATTCTCTTTGCAGCGCTCAGTGATGGTGTCCGGTTCTGTCAGTATCTTCATTAGCATGTCCCATTTTTGTAGGGTTGAGGTTGCTCTCCCACTGTCCCCCCCATTGCCCTTGGCAGAAAGACTTTGCACAATGTCTGAGCAAGGGAGAGAACAATCGTAGTTCAGCTTCTTGTGAACAGGTTTGAAAGCCTGAAGTTAAAAGGCTGAAGTTAAACCCCTTCCACTCTCTTTTCTGAGGTCATTTATCAGTCTGCAACTGCATTTACAAAGAGAGAAAATAACCAGTCAGGGTGAAAATTCCCTTTAGTCTAAGGCACCTGGATGATGACGTGTGGGTGGGAGAGTGGTGGGTGTGTAGGGGAGATGGAGTCCTCCCTAGGGTGCTGCCTGCTGCTCTTACCATGGACTCATGGAAGGTTTCAGTGCAGGAGGGGGGGACACTTCAAGAGCAGGCTTGCAGTGCTTGCCCAGCCAGTCACCACACTTACTGAGTCCCCTAGGTCTGTGTCAGAGGCTCTGACCCACCTCTGAGCTGACTCCCATCTTCCAGTCTTGGATCACACTGAGATCCCATTTCCACCTCCTAGGCTGGAGCATTACTCTCCATGCGGTGTTGCTGGCTGAGCAGGGCTGCAGCAGGGCAGGCTTTGCACTGGATCCTGTTTGATCTCTGGTTCTGAGCTGAGATTTTGGGCTCTGCTTGTATCTGCACCTGAGTGTGGTGGGGTTCTTTGCCTCTCCATTTGCACTGGTTTGAATCCAGGTATATGCGATGCATGGCAGAAATTGCCTTTGCAGCTTCAGAATTGTTGCCTGGTACAGCTTGAGGTCAGCTCAGCAGAGCACAATGGCTCCTTCAGAGAAGGATTCTCCCTGTCTCTGATTTAAATGACCTCTTGCATCAAGATCCCGTGTTTTCAAAAGTGCCTTGAGTAAAACATGTATGTACCACAAGGCATCACTATGAATCAGGTGTATCAAATATATGTCTATAATTAGTGGGCATCCTTACCACAAACTAATATGAGATCCATCACTTAACATTAGAAAACTAAACTAGACTAAACTAAATCACTTCTGAAAAACTAACAAAAACCCCCAAAACCCAAACAAACCATCAATAGTGGCAATTGGAAACCTGCATCTTAGGGTGAACGTATTTTCAGCTATGAGACTGAAACCCCTAAACCTCAAAAAGCTCATAAGAAAAGCCAAAGAAGTCATTGCTTCTATTGTGTCAACTTATGGAGGCTCTTTGGGTGATGATAGTCTTTCTTATTTGCTGTTCTTTTCTGTTCTCCTGTTTCTGTCCCTTCCTTCGGGAAATTATAGATACAAAAAAAAAAAAGAAAAAGAAAACAAGAGAGAAGTATAAAATGCCACATGCCACGGAAAGGGACAGCTCTTCCCAAAGCCTGGTGGTCAGACCACCTGCTCATTATAGTTTTCCACAGCTGTGGTGGCTGCTGTCAAAATTTTCGGTGGTATTTTGCAGCTGCTGTTCTGACACAAGTGCAGTTCCATAACTCTGCAGCCACACTTTGGACTGCAAGAACAATCTGCACCTGCAGAACAGCAGGACCTTCCGTGTCCTACTATAAATCCCACCCTGGGAGTCTGAAAGAATTGGGGGGGTGTGGGGGGTGTTTACAGGCTTAGGGAGTTACGTAGTTGCTGCAGGCTGCTGGAGTCTGCACAGACCTTGTGGGTACAGTTTAAGTGCCAAGCTTTGAAGTGTTGAATGTTCTTGCCTGACTTGGTTTGCTGGTTAGGACAGACACAGGGTGACTGCCCAGGGCTGCCTAGTGAATAGCTGAGGCACACAGGCTATCTGGGGGCCAGGGTTTGGTAAAGTTCCTTGAATGCATGAATCTGCCATGAAGTGATGCTGCAAAAGAGCCAGCAGGATAATGGGGGGTGACTTTTTTAGAAAGCTTTAGCCTTAATGGCATTCCTCTGCCTTTGTGACAGACTTCTTTTCTTTCTCTGTAACTGATACTAATTCTAGGTAGAACTGCATGGCATGCACAGGGATCTCTGTTTAGGATTATCTTGCAAGTCAGGTGTAACTTTGTGCCACTTTACAATGAGAGAATGTGTTAACAGGATTAATCTGACCTTGAAAATTATTTGGGCGGGCCCAGAATGTCTATTACAGTTCAAGTGCAACTTGAGTGGTTAAAATGTGTAGTGGCTAAATAGTGTAAAATACCAAGTTCATGAAACAAATATGGTGTTTCCAGGTCTATTCCCACTGCTGCTTTGACTCTGATATTCCGATATTATCCATAGCAAGTTCAGTGGAACCAGCTTGTACCTTGTAGGAGGCAGTAGCACGATGGGTTTCCTGCAGACACAGTCAATGCAGCCTGTGGGTGAGTGGACTGTCCCAGGCTCTGTGTGCTGGGGAGGGGTGGGGGCATCCGGGGGCCCAGTTTGTGGGTTTGCTCTGAAAATTTGACTTGTACAGTTCTGAAGGACTTTGCCTCCTGAATTCGTGACGGGAACATTACGTGTTGTTTCATGGAGTCGTTCCCGGTTCGCCGTTCCCGTCCCCTCGCGGTTGTGCATGATGCGATGAGTGCGCTGCCGACTGGGGCATCCCCTTTCTCTTAGAGAAGCATGAGTCATACATACTCTTGTAGTTCAGGCTTGATTGAAAGCAACCACCTGTAGTCATTAAGTGCAATAAGGACACAAAGGTGTCACTTCCACCCAGGCCAGTGCTCAAGCAGCTACACGCGGCGCGGAGGGAGCTCTCGGCTGCATGCTCTCCTTTCCTTTAGGAGCTCTATTCCTGTACAGATGTTCCTGCCAGATGCTGGTCACAGCATCCTTACCACTTACCTTGTGCTTTGTGTGTTCAAAGCGTTTTACCTGCACACGAGTGGATTTTATCTTTCTGGACTTTGGAATAGAAATAAAATGTGTACAAAAAAAAAAAAAAAAGCAAACACTTTCCAAAGCAAATAACTGGAGTACTTTTAATAGCATATTTTTTTGTGTGTGTGTAACATTGCATATACAAGATAGAACAGCACTTCAGGATAATAACTGAAAAAAAAAATTTGTGTTGTAGTGAAGATTCGGTTCTTCTGAATCTGTATTTGTAAATCCTTTTTTCCCATTTTTCTGTCTTTGCCAGGGGACAGGGGTTAGAGCAGAGCTGACTCTGGAAGTGACAAACTTAAGCTTTGCCCATTTTTCTTTTCCCTGTTCTGCAGAAGTAAAACAACTACAGGGACTCGATGCTGCTGGCACCAAGGTTTGGGTTTATTGCTAGACTCAACTTCAGTCTTCATTTACCACCTCATGGAAAGTAACCCTATTGCACAGGTGTGAACTGAAGCTTGAGTCTGATAATCATATTGGACCTTAATGTGTATTTTGGATCCCAGGACAATTTTAGAGAACTGGAAGCTGCAGAAATAACAATTTCCTATTTGCAAGCTGAGAGCAGTTGCTCTGGAAGTAACTGAGACAGTTCTACAGACGTCATCGTTTGCATGGGTCAGAAAACAGATGTTGTGCTCATGAAATAGCTTGGAGGCCTTCTGGGGGAAAAGATGTCCTTAACTGGGATGGGAAAACAAAAAAAGCCAAATGTTTAATGTGAAATTTGGGAGTGAGGACATTGAGGGATATACTATAAGGCATTGACACTTTTTTACTTAAAAATTGAGCATTTAGAAAACCCAAGCCTATCTTTCTGGATGTCAGAATTGGACAGATTGTTTCTTAAAATAAATATTTTTTTCCAAAGTGAGGTGGTGTTAAAGTGATGCGTGTTTGTTAAAAGAAGTGTTCAAATACAATTTTCTTCAAAAGAGGCTTTGAATGGGTTTTGTTAATGTTGTTTTTAATAGGCTGCACCTAAAAGCTCTTTTTCAGTTCCTTTTTTTTTTCTTTTGTACCAGAAACCCCTGTGTTAACACATATCTTCAGGTCTGTAGGATCTATAATGCTTTAACAAACTCGTTAGAGAGGGTTTGGAAAGTGGGATTCCTTTGGAGAAACCCATCTCTCCATGGCAGCCCAGGCAGTGATGCTCCCCTGTCCTGAGTTGCAGTGAGAGCTGTGAGCACTGAACAGCAGTAGTTTGCATTTTTCTTGTCACTTCTCATCTGCCCTGATACCCTTCAGGGAACTTAAGGAAGGAAATAGAAAAGTTAATGCGGTCATTTTTCCTGGATGGCCCCAGCCCTTCACATATATCTGTGTGGTGCTTTCCCATGGAACCCACAGGAAGAAGTTTGATCCATCTAGATTTCCACATCTGGGAATATTTTTTATAACTTTCCCTTTGGGTTTTTTTTGGTACAAATGGATAACACCGTATCTGCATGTATTTATTTGGTTTAATACATTATAGTGCGTTTCCAAATGAAACACATTCTTAAAGCAAGGTGCTGAATGGAGCTAAAATAAAGAAGTCCACATTATTTCTGGCAGAAAAGTGGTGAATGTTCTCACTGACATAAAGAATACTGTGCAAAGATCTGCTCTGGGATATCTAACAAATGACAAACAAACTAAAATCATCCTTACTGAGGGTACATTTAGTCAGACACAAAATTGACCTTGTAGTTCACAGTGGGACAAGAAGGCATATATTGATTTTGAATACTACAGTGGTAGAAGCATTCAAAAAGGGCTTGACCAGGCCATGCTGAATAAATTGTATTTATAGGTTAGGTTATGTTATGTTATGTTATGTTATGTTATGTTATGTTATGTTATGTTATGTTATGTTATGTTAATCAGCTTCCTGATGCATGGCAGGTGGAAACAGGAATCTGGGGCAATATCATCACAAACCTTTTTATCTTTTTTTTCTATGAAGCAGATAAGTGCATTTCTTCACTATTTTCTGGAGATGTAAGCTTGCTTGGCCCACAGTCTGAGACTATGGGTGTGAATCAACTCTGTATCTGGCTGTCTGCCATGAACACATCAATTAGCCTTAATTAAAAGCCCTATAAAAAGGATTTTGTATTAGGTTGGGCTCAGACCTCCCCCCTCCAGTGACATGACTGTATTTTGTCTGATTCAGAGCTGATTCAGTTAAGACTGAGCAATGGCAGAGTATATTTCTGCCTGCCTGCAGAGGACGTATAGACACACCATATGGATATATACCTGACCATTTGGAATGGGGAATCAGATCTGGTTCATTTAAGACAGGTGTTTCAGACAGGTGGGATAAATCCTGCTCTGGAGGTACCAGTCTCTCATCATTTACTGTAGAGTAATGACTTCAGATTAGACATTTGATTTGTAGGCTGCTAGAGGGTAAATGGAGTGAATCCAACCCATGATTCAATCTCCCAGCCTGATCTTGTTTGTATAAAAAGGTGTCTCTTTAAAAGAGTCAGCTTACCATCTTTCCAGCACTGAAGCACTTTCACATAGATGTGACTGACAGTACAGGGAACACTGAAATGTCTCATCATGCAGCCAAAGTGTTCACCTCCTGAATTGTTAATTAGAGTTTCGTAAAGACACTAGGATGCTCAATTCTTGGCTTGCGGTGATCAGATTTTTAAGTTTTTACCCCAATACCATGACAGCATAGTCCAGGGACCCTCATTGTCACAGGTGTATAGTGGTTGAGGTGCTCTTCATCATGGTGTGCAATGCCAAGGCACAGTTGGGCATCACCAGTCAATTTTTGTACAGTGAAAGACTGTCATCTATTTGGGATCTTTGGCTGTTCTGGGGTGTTTAGGGTGATGATAGGAGTTTTGTTGCTGAGTTGTGTCATGTAGTGGAAAGATGACAAGGCTTGGAAACATCCAGTGAAGGGAAGAGTTTTAGTGGAGAGCAGCTTTCAAGGCAGAGAGAGGTGAGTGCCCAGGACGCAGCAGAGCCCTGGCTCTGTGCTGTGCAGGGGCAGGAGGGTGGGGAGAGGGAGGAGAAGGATGTAAAGAATGGTGTTAAAAAATAGTGACAATATTCCACTGAAGGTCTGTATTGACTTGTCTCTGCATAGTGACTGTTTGCATCTCCAAAATTTATTTATTTGGAATTTGGCAGACTCCTCTTTCCTTCAGGTGGTGTATAAGGATGAGGCTGGCAGACCTTTCTGGGGTGACAGCTGTGGAACAGGGAAGAGCCATTAGAGGACACTCAAATACATATCCTTAGGGGAATATGTGGGCTTCAGGAGAGCCAAAGACCTGTTGGAAAAGGGCATGTAGTATCCAAACTGTGTATCATCGGTGTATGGACTCTGCCTTTGAAGCAGAGCCTGCTATAAGCAGGGAGGGTTAGACCAAGTGATTTCCCAAAGGTCCCTTCCAAGCTATGGTGTTCAACCATGCAGTGATTCTGTAGATTTTAATAGCACAAACAGGAGGTAAACTTGGAAAGTTCTTAGTTACATTCCATTATTTTCTAGTTTTTAGTTTAAATACCACACTGAGGAATGTGGTGCCAATTTTCAAGATAATTACTGTTTCTAACAGCCAATACTCATCAAGCAGACACCAGAGAAATTTGGCATATTCTAAAACTATGGCATATAAATAAATCAAGCCTTTTACCAGGCATCAGCTAAAATCCACTCTTGATGCCAAACACTGAGAATAATGTCTCGGTGACTATGCAGTTTCTGGAAGCAGTGGGCTAATATGGATGCATCAACAACACCCACACCCTCTTCCAGCCTCATCCCCAGTCCAGTGAAAGCTGATTACAGTGTCTGAAAATGCCATCAAAAAATCAATGGCATTTGAGCTGGTTTTCAGTGTTGCCCTGGCAAATGTGCACATCCAAGGCTGTAGGAAAGGTGTGAAGGGCAGTGACAAGTAGGTATCTCATTAGTGCCTGGATATGGAAGTGATTCTCATCCCTCTGGGTTCAGCCTGCTCCTCTCATTGTCTGTCTGGACACCATTGCTGAAAAGGCCTGGGTGTTTTCAAAGGAGCTGGGCACATCTGTGGAGCCCATGCACATCCCTAGAGTCTGCCCAAGCCCCATTCCCAGGCTTATTCCCTGCTTTTCTAGGCACATTCAAAGGTGGTACTTTTAGATTTAACTGACACTATTAGATTTAACTGACAAGCTATTTTTCCAGACTCAGCAATCTCCTCAATATCTATGATGGCTCACAGGGTTACTCACAAAATCCTTTCCAATCTTAGCAGCAAGTCTCCAAATTAAACAGGAATAACAGGACAAGCCTTCTGCCATTCTCAGGGCATTCTCTTATTAAACAAACATTCATTTCTATTTTGTTTTATTTCTGGCCCTTTTGTACAGTCTTGAACAGCACAGTGTTGCATAAGATAGCAGGGATTGGAGTGCTTTTTGGTTTTTAATGAGCCAATTGGAGGAGAACTCAAGTGAGACACCAGCTTCACACTCAGTCCAGCATCTGCCATGTGTGTGACCATTTCCTCTGGTTTCCTCCTCCAGTTACATCTTTGGTGAACTTCACCAGCAGCAATTTGAACCGATGCCACGTAGTGAGAGTAAAAGTTCTCTTCATTTCCTCGGGCAGACCCTAGGGCTCTCCTCAGCATCTCCATGTGTGCTATGCCAGGACACGCAGGCACTTTCCTGTCCTGGACTTGGTTTCAGAAGAATTTCCTGAGATGTTGCACCTCTTTTCTCTCTCAACACATCATTTGTCTAGGGGAAAAAAAAAAAAACCCACCAGCATTTTCTGGCTGATCACTTGGGAATCGACTTGCATCCAAGGCTGCTGCCAGGACCATTAGTGGGAGGTCACAGTTCAGTTTGTAAATTGGGTGTCTTATCTGAGCTCTCATGGTAAAAGGCATTTTTTTTTCTAAAGGAAAACAAAATTTCTGCTCTGCTTCTAATTAGTCCTCTGTTGTCCCTGCAGGATTAATTACTGCCTTCTTCACTCGAATCATCAAATGCTGTTTGGCAACAGCTTCTTTTTTTTTTTTTTTTTAATGATTTTAGGTATAATTAGGATCTCTGGCATTACAAACAAGCTCAATCAGGTTGTACTTTAAAATGACATAGCTGAAATGTCACCTAAACTAGTAGTTTAAGCTCGGCTTTTGAATGCCAACACCACCATTGCACTTGGCGAGTGTTCAGAGCTCATCATTTTGGGGTCATCAGTAGGTCAGTGTAAGCATCCTTCTCCTGAAATCAATGACAGAAGGGATTTTATTCTGCAGGTCTTCCCACAGTGGGGCTTTTAGAAAATAATCATCGGTGCAAAGATACAGTGGCACCTCCCAACTCTTCTTACTGCCTGTTGGTGCTCTGTAGATTCACAGCCACATCTCTTTTTTACTTAAAGGAAGGGCTGAGGGCCACCAACTGCCTAATTCTATAAAGTGGTAAATTCAATTTATCGAGTGGGAGAGGCAGTAGCTAGCAATAAGGCAGGATTTGGGTTCTAAAAATCTGCCTGGTGGGAATTGGGCAAGCCACCAGAAAGACAATAAAGGATTTATCTGACAATGCATGCCAAAGGAATGCTAAATATGTAAGCAGGAGAATTTACTGATACCAGACAAAAAGCTCATTGGCGTTAAAGTGCAAAGCAGGTCTGTAAATGTACCTTTCAGCTGTCCTGGTAAAATCCCTGTACTCAGACAAGGGGAGCAGTGGCTTGTTTCTACAGAGAGGAGAACTGGCTAATCAGCTTTCCCAGAACATTGAACACAAAACATGTTTCCTCAAATGCAATAGTTAGCACTGTTTTACTAGCATGGGCAACATTTCATAACAAACCTCAGTGTCAGCCTCCCCCTGCCACTAGTTTCACAGTGATTCAGAGATGCTCCTAAAGCTGGTACTGCAGTATTTCTCTTAGGACAGGTTTGTTCCCTTCCTTGCTTGTCACTGATTGTCAATTATTTGCCCTTAACCAGATTTGTGGCCCTGTAAGGGACATGGGACACCCCGATATGCCTGCAGCTTGTGGGGCTGCAGTGGAGATAAAGGTTCACCATATTTTGTGTGGAAAACATGCCAGCCGTAAAAATACTCTTGCTAACTGTTTAAAGCTCCAATGCCTTATCAGCACAGTTTATGTAACCAAATCCCATTAGTACTACAAACCATTCTCACATGAATTAGGACACGATATGCTTCATAAACCTTACATACCTATTGACTGTAGTTATGCATAGTGCACTTGGCTGGGCTTTTATGTGCAGGTGTAGCTGCATATCTTGGTTTAATTTCTATGTGTTTTGAAAGCTTTGTAATATGAAACAGAGTATTTTCCACAATGAAAGACAGTGTTTCCCTTCCTTTGTTTGTTTGTTTATCTCCTCTCTCTTTTTCCTTCCTTCCTTCTTTTCTTGACTTCTTGTTTACTTGCCTAGCTCACTAGGCTAGCAACTGGTAGAAATGATTGATTAAGTGATGTTGCATCATCAATGAGATAATGATCTGTTTTGCTATTTGTGTTCAGAAGAAATAATATGCTAATAAGAATTGTAGTTAGAGCTGATTTTTTAATGTCCTGCTTAAATACCAGCCAGTGACTGAGTGGTTCAGTAAAGTGGTCTCAGCAGATCTTCTAAATTGTGTTCTCTATTTTGGAGGTAAATATTTTCGGGCTTTGAACATCTTGTGTAAATATTCTTATTAAGGTCACTGGAAAGGTTTCCATTAATTTCTCTAACTCAAACCCAGTTCTCACAGAGGGACCAGGACAGTGAGTTCCAGCGTGGGCTGAGCTTTCTTAAAACTGAGAACTCTGGGTGCTAGAATTTTAATGTCAGGCCCTTGTCTAATGCAAATGGGTCCAAGATTTCATGCCCTACTAAATGCTGCATGATGATTGCAGGCAGAAATGTAGAGGATGTGTTTGAAGATGGGGACAGCAAGGTGAATTGCCATAAAAATCAGCTGAACCCATCAGAGAAAAGCACTTTTTAATTAACACATATTTGGATCCAAAAGACACATTCTTGGTGTCTGAACTGTCAGTAATTTCCATCCAAAGTAACTGCTCAAAATTCACGACTGTCTAGAATATCCTTGCACAAGTCAGATATGTACATAAGCTGTGCAGACTCTCTCTGGGGAGAAGCACAGTTAAAAATAAAGTTATTATTGCTACCACTGAGAGAGACGATGACAAAGACAGGGGGTTGAGCACCAGGCACCGTGAGACTGAATCCTGCCGTGCAGCCCTCCATCTGAGCATTGCTGATTCAGTTGTGGGCAGAGGAGCTCAGGTTTTGAGTCCTGTTTGTGTTTCCTCGTCTCTGTCCACACCTGGAGCAGAGCAGAGCACCACACAGGGAAGGGCCAGCTTCTGCAGGACTATATGAAGTGTAGCCCCTACCCCAGACCAGGCTTCAAAAAGTGAAATCCTGGCTCTATGAGGGCCAGTTTTGGCATGGGTTTTAGGATTCCTCCCCTGCCTCCCCCATCCCTTTCATATGCTTATGAGTTCCCACTTATATTGAAGCAACTAGTCACCCTAAGCTCCTAAATGAAGAAAAATATGTGAGGAATATATACTGGGAGGAAAGAGTGATGAGGGATGGGCATGATCCTGCCTGTGTCTGTGCAACCCCAGCTCTGCAGTGGTGTCTGTTGAAGCATCCTTGTAAAAGAATGCTCACAGTATTCTCACAATTAGTGGCAGGGGGAGATTTTTCTGAAAGAATTGTCATCACAGAGGACCTTTTTACTGTCAAAACATGGTACTATTTTTCTAGCTTTTTTTTCTTAGGCTTCCCCCCCTCACAGCAAATAACAACCGAAAAGTAAACTGAGCAGGAGCTGCTGCACAAGGCTGCAGAGATGCCAAACCTAAAAAACCAGCCTGCCCTTGTGGGATACCCACAGGTCTGTGCTGAGCACCCATCCTTGGCATAACCTGCCTGCTCTTTCTTTTTCTTTGCTGAAATGCAGCTGCATGGCCAATGTGCATTTTGTTTCCTTTCCTTGTATCTCCAGACCAATGCTCTGCTCCCTGCCCCACACTTGTGCTGAGGCGTCTCTCTGCACCCCTGAGCACCTAACAGGGATCATGCCAATGCTCATCCCTGCTTTGTGGGAATCTTTCCAATAACATTAGCACCACTTTCAAAGCATAATGGGCTTGAAAGCCTCCTTTTTTACCCTGAGGTCCTTACTTTTGAGTTCAAATTTCAAGGTGTCCCACTAGCTGAAAAAGCACCGGGTGATAGAATGGTGTTTGTGCAACCCTCATGGAGAATTTGGGCAAAACAACTGGTTATAAAAGCTCATGTTGGAAAACCTGATCTACAGAGTTAACTGCAGCTTTTGAATGTACGTGATTCGCAGACACTGGACTGTGAGGAGGAAAAATATTTTGAGAAAATTTTTTTTGCAAGGAAGAAACTGGGGGAAAGGGTTATTGCTCAGATAATGTTTCTTTTGTTACTACTTGCTGCTCTTTGTACACTAGCCAATGCAAATGACATTCATGTTCCTGACAATATTTTTGAACAGCCCAGCTATCTTTTTTGCTCTTGTTAATATACTGAGGATTTGGGGGGATTTTAAATGCCTCTGCCTTTCAGGATTATTTCTACAAAAGCAATTGAGAACTGTATATTTTGACAGCGGGAAGCTTATAAAAACCTAGAGAAAAAAAAAATAATAAAGCATTTGAAACTGAACAGCTATCGAAGGAATGCACCTCTGCTACCATATCTGATCACATCGAGGAAGGACCATCTTTCTACTGAAAATCACACATCAGTTTGTACAGAGGGGATGCTCCCTTGACCACTCGCGTGACTGCCCAGGAGGAATGCGTGGGGACGCTTTCGTTAATCGTGACTCTCCTGTCACTTTTGGACGTTGCCATGTGTGGTCGGTTGAAATCGGTTTTATCTGTAGCAGGCTTCTTGTTGCACTTTTTTCTGTTTGCTAAAATTCAACAACAAGGAAAAACGTGGGTCACTTTAAAGCATTGGCAGACAACTGTTTCTAACCCAAAGGATTATGGGTTTTAGCACAATGAACTGTACTTCTTCAGGGAGGATCAATGTCGATTTTTTTGTTCCACACGTCTTTATTTACATGTGGCTATATTTTCATTGATACAGAATAAAAAGTGCATTTTATTGACCTTGAGTGTTTGTGTTGTTACTTCTCTTGAGCTCTGGCACCATGACAGTGATAGCTTTTGTTTTCCCGGCCAAAGCAGACCACAATTTGTTGAGATTAATGAGCAAAATAAAATCTTATTTTTAGGTGGCTTGGGGATGGGGTAGAAACATAAATCTATTGTTAGAATAGAGCTTCTCTACAGGACAATAGGAACAATGCTTGGCCTCTCTCCTTGCTAGCCTGAAGAAAATGAGAAATAAATCAAGCTGAGTGGTCACAGGTATCTCGTCCATAAAACTTCTGTAGTATCTAATTCCCTCTCCCAAGCAAATTGAGGTGAAGAGGGAATACTTTATCTAAGTGGGTAATAAGTATTAGCTTATAACCTTATTTGCTGCAAATGTGTAACCTTGCTTCGAAAAAATTACACTTCAGATGCAAAATGAGGATTGGGACTGTGGAGTAGAGGCAGAAGTGTTTCACTTGATAATTTAAATAATTTCTAAGACATGTGCTCCCTTTACTTCTTACATCATTAGCTTTGTCGCAAGTGACATTCCCTAAAGAATTTCCTGTGCCAAGGTATAAGTGCCTTATTTTGGCATAAATACACACAACATTGCTGACATGTTCTTGAAACCAGAGTTGCTCTTATGGTCCTTCAGTGCAGAAACCGAAGCACGTGGAAATCAGTGAAGATTTTTTCTATTCCCTTGCAACGGTCCCTTCCAACTCAGAATATTCCGTGATTCAAGATTCTGTCATTTAAGCAGCTTTGACCAAATCCTGCAGGCTTTGTCCCAGCCAGGGATGGTGTCCAGGTGTAGAGGAGTAATTATAGCTATGAGAGACAGAGTGGCACTAATTCAGTTTGAGGGTAAAGCATCCAAATCTAGTTGTCCACAGATAAGTCTTGCCATCTGCAGGGACAGGTTTTCTGTGGAGAAAAACATTTGTGGTGAAAAACATTCATTGCTGAGCATTTATTTTTTTGACTCACTGAGTGCCTACTCTCAGCATCCTTGGCTGCAGTGAGAAGACCCTGGGCTCAGCACAGGAGGGAGAAGTGCCCAAAGCCTTCATGGCAAGCACTGGTAGAACAGGCCATAATTTCCATCACTGAGAAACCAGTGGCAGAGACTGCTCCTGCTGCTCGTCTTTTGTAATTGGGGTTGGCCTTTGCCAGATTGGAAGCTGGCAGCATCAACACAGCAGCTTTTTCCAAGTGGGAGTTTGGGACCATGTCAAGGCTGTGCCTCCTAGCCCTGAGAAAGGGAGCTGTTGGGATGGAGGATGAAGCGGGAGTGGATTTATTTGCAGGAGCTAATTTGTTACTGGCTGACAGCATTGGTTTCTGTTGTAGTGCAGCTGTGCCTGAGCAAGCTGGCAACTACTATCATTATCCACAGGACTGGTCCTCACCAGACCTCAACCTCCTTCCACCCCCTGCACATAGGGTTTGGATTTTACCCTGCAAGTGGTAAGAATGCTGAGCAAGATGCAGGATCAGTCCCTGAGATTGCTGAGGCCCTGAGGGAGATATTTGCTTTGCAGATTGCTTTACCTGTGCATATTACCTCTACCTAAACAAGCCCTGGAAGCCAGGGAAGCTAGTTAATAAATGCACATCTCATTCCCTTTATGAGAACATCATCCAATGCACTGGGCTGAAGATTTATTCTCCAGGGCTGATGCTACTACTGATTCAGGATCCAGCTACTAACAATGGCAGGGCAGGAGCAGAGAGCAGGGACTGAGACAGAGACTTGGTTCAGTTTCCTTCCTCAAATCAATGCACCCTTTACAGCCACCTCTCTTACAAAAGCTTTTTCCTAATTGTCCTAACAGTGATGTTAGGCTGGCCAGGCTGGATGGGGCGTGGAGTAACCTGGTCTAGTGGAAGATATCCCTGCCCATAGCAGGGGAGTGAAACTAGATGATCTTTAGGGTCCTTTCCAACCCAAACCATTCTATGATTCTGTGTTATTTGATGGAGAATTAGGCTACAGTGGCCATCTTACACATCCAATTAAGGGAAGTAATGAAGATGGAGTAAGCAAGTTCTTTACTGCTGTAAATTCTCTGATGGTGAACTTGGCTGCATAGAAATAAAACAGCTGCTCAAATTAGGGCACCAACTGAGCCAGGCATTGAACTCTTGTAGTGCACAACTCAGAAAATGCATAAAGAGATATATACCACTGGTTTCAGCCATTTTTGAGGCCACTTTGAGCACCTCCTTCTCCTGGTGAATAATCTCCATCTAGCCAGGTTTGTCTGAATATAGTTTCTTGTCCAGTTGGTTGCACCTAAGAAAATTCATAAATCCTTACCTTCAGACATGAGCAGGCTGGTTCTGCAAGCCTAAGAGTGGGATGTTTGAGGCATTTGGGCAGGGTGGGACTCATATTTGAAGAGGGTATCATACACAGCAAATGTGACTCTGCAAACACTTTAGTGGCAGCACAGTTCAGTGTTTTTGGACTGCCAGCACCAGCAGCTGCCCAGCAGTCCCTGCCACAGCTTTTTGGAGATGCTCTTCTGCCCTTGGTTAGACAGAAATACACATCCTGATTGGAAGTAGAGATTTGGTTTGCAAGCCATTCCCAGTTTACAGAGACCATATGAAAGGTTTGTTTCTCATATGCCCAGCACAACTTTTAAATGTTCTTTTAAAATACACTCTCACTGAGTGGGTTAAAAAGTCTAGGGCAAATAAAATATTGTAGCAAAGGGTCTGAATCTGCATCTCTGTGTCCGTATCTTGTCCTGTTGGCATGAAGGAGGGCACAGCTTCATCAGCTGGGAAGTGCCCCTGAAGCATCAAGGTGACTTTCCCAAAATGTGCTGTCCCAGAGAGGATTCCTTCGCAAGTGCTGCTGCTAGGATTAGTGCTGTTCACCACCTCCTTTAAGGGACAGGAGGAAGGTCTTCAGAGCTTGCTTGTGCTGCTCAGAAATGGGGATAAATGCGGAGGAACAGCTCTCAGCCAGCAGGGCAGGGCACAGGTGCAGGGCATGAGGCCAGCTAAGTGCTGCTGACATGGGATGGTGCCGGCTGTGAAGAGCCCTCAAGGACAGGGGCTGGCAGCACCTCACCAGGCACTCTGAAAACACTGCTGGAGCAGAGCCGAAGTGTGCCCTGTCAGGAACTGCCACTGATTGGCAGGAAGATGGACCGACCAATTTGATAGACCTCTTCTATCTCTCTCCTCTGTAATTCTGTGACATTTTCTCCAGGAAAGTAACGTACTTCCAAATTAATCTGATTGCAGTGAAGCAGACTGTCATCAGCCCCTAGAGAGAACAGAGTGGTGTGATCCATCTCAGCTGAGAACAGGTGAGACCACTGCCCCAATAGCATGGGGAAGTGACCCACTGACAGGGTGCCGGGCCTATCTACTAATAATTAGCAGAGAAATAAGAAAAGACAGGGTAAGCAGATAGACTGAATCCATTTATTTCCTTCTAGTAAATAAAGAACAGGAAAAAAGAAAGTAGTTGAGAAATACATAGACAGACAGACATGATGGATTAGTCAGTCTTTCCACCTACTTACAGGATTATAAATCTGTGATATAGACATTACTCAAAGAAAAGCACATTGCTGTGTGAGATCTAAGACTGCAGAGCAGCCTCTGTTCAGCATGGGAGGAGAATTTGGGCATATTTATCTGTTTTTCATACATATATGTGTGTTGTAACATTCAAAGACCTCAGCTCCACTCTGCCACAACTTGGCAGTCCCCTGGAGGTAGGAAGTACCCGTGGGAACAGCTGCAGGGAGCTGGATGGATGCAGCTCTGCTGCCTGCCCGTGCTTCTTATTTTTATTCCAGCCATTAGGAATGTCCAGAGCCTGATGCAGGCCTGGGTAGTGCAGACATGGGAAAGCGTGTCTCTCACTCAACAGGCAACAAGGAAAAAGTCAAATCTGTGGTCATGCAGCACAAGAACAAGCAGAAGTATACATACAAGGATACAAAAAACATACAGAACATGCAAGGATCAAAAACATTGACAAAATTTTGTGTTTGTTCGGATGGACAGAAAGAAGGCAAGAGGATTGGAGAAGCATAATTCTGTTCCCAGTGTTACCCCTCTTCTCCAGTTTCTTATATTCTTCCATTCAGATGCAATTCTGTTGGGAATGTAGAAAATATTCATTAGAAATAATTCTCCACAGAAACAGAGCAGTGAAGAATGACATTCCTGGTTTCATGGGTGGCAGAAAGTCAAAGGGTCTGAATATAGCCATAGACTTTCAGAAGTAGCTCAGCCCGTTTTTATTTTCCAAACTTTCTCACAAGGGTCTTGCTTCATGCTTGGGACACCAAACTCCCTTCTCCAGCAGCAGTTTTTAAATAGGAAAAGCCCTGGATCAATGCATGTAAGGAGACCATTTGAAACCCATATGTGGTTCACCATCTGATAACAAAAAGTGTATTTATCTAAAATGCCCTCATCATCCTTATCTGCTTTACTTTGTGCAACAGTGCCAGGAGCAGCAGAAATTTCTTCCAGTCCACAGATCACCCACCCTAAAGATTAAAAAATCAGGCTTTCATAGCATAATTTTAAAATTGTTTATGCATTCAGCTTTTCTTGGTGAAAAATGAAATGTGCTGAACAATGGTTTCTAAGACTTATGTAGATTTTGTATCCCCGTAGGATACAAGGCCTGGCCCCAAACAGCCTTATTTCTAATAAACCCACAGATTCAAAGGGTTGGGAAACTACATCCTGGGAGCCCATGATGGTGTAAGATCTTCCCAAAAGACTCAGTTTTCCTTTTGTAGGGTGATGTTTATTTCCCTTTCCCATTTCCAATTTCCCATTTCCTTTTTTCTTTCCCTTTCTTCTTTTTTAAATTTAATTTTTTTTATTTTAATCTCTCTTTTCCTCTTGACCTTTGCTTTATCTTTTTGAGCTCCATCAAGAAGTGCAGACTTTTGTTTTGGCCAGTTCTGCTGCATGCAGGATGGCTTTTTATTCTGGTCAGATGACTTTCTAACTCTATCAGGGA